CCCAAGCCAAACATAGACACACACGGGAATAATAATGTTTGGCTTGGGCTACTGTGGTTATATTGTCCCGCAATGCAATCAACAAACATATAGAATTGGACCCCACATACAAACCCGTACAGATCAAAACCGGAAATGACACTCCTCACCATAACGGACCAGACAGTATAAATTCCAAGGGGAGTAGAACAACATCGCTACAGCAGAGGCCTCACTGATATTATCTAGCATGGTGGCGAAATGTCTGATCGAAAACATGCCAGCTCTGCAAGCAAGTCAACAACCTTACCCATTACCCGAGCTACAAATCTTTGCTAAGACTTTAAATATGTGATCATGTTTGAGCAGCAGCAACAGGGAAAGGAAAACAGACTTTCATTTATATAGCATCTTTCATTACTTAATTAGAAACACCTTGAAGGCAATGATTCATTTTAGATTCCAACCCTAGTTACAGTGGTTAATGTCAAATGTAACCATATAAATTCTTTACCTCAATTTTTGTGGCACTGAAGTGTTGGACACTTTGTCATACAGGTGGCAGTACATTAAAAAAAAATCATAATTCTTGATAACAAAATTTCCAAATCTTTCCAGGAATTGCCCTTTTTAATTCTTAAAAAAAAAAAAGTTAAAAATCTGTAGTCTTAAGTGCCCTGAATTTAGAGGAGATCTATTTTGAAAATTATGCTTGTGCATTCATTCTATTAAGAACACTAAATGTAGAAATTGGCTGGCATGTAGGTTTACTAACTTTTTTTTTTGTTTGTTTTTTTGTACTCTGTGTTAATATTATATTAAAAGGCAGCCTTGCAATCCGGGTAGTACATGATTCTTTGTGCTGAAGTGATTTTTTTTTTTTGCAGAACGTCAGGATAACGTGACAATACATTATGCCAACAGTTTTATTATTTATTTTAAATGTGTTCTTAATTTATCCACACTCTCTAGGACCTTTCACTAACCAAGAAATGGCAGAATGGTTCCAGGCTGGCTACTTCACAATGTCTTTATTCGTAAAGAGAGGATGTGATGAGGGTTTCCAGCCATTGGGAGAAATTATTAAAATGTGGGGCAGAGTTCCTTTTGCTCCAGGACCCTCTCCTCCTCCATTGCTGGTAAGAGGATTTTCATATGATCCAATGGATAGTGCATAAATATTCGGCTATTTCTATTTGGATTGGCAAGGCAGATATCCATAAAGGCACTCTCCATAAGATAGCATTGTGTAAAGTTTGTTTCATTCACTTTTGCACAATTATATTCACTTTTTTTTAACCCAACATGTAAAAAGCCCACCATAGGAACATACAATATGAGTTGCAGAAGCATGAGTACGACATTCTGCTCCACCATGAAGATCATGGCTGATTTGATTAGTTCACATTCCCAACTAGCCCTGGTAATCTATCAAACCTTTGTTTATCAAGAATCTATCTCTACTGTAAAAATGTTTAAAATCTCTGCTGCTACTGCCTCTTGAGGGAGAGCATTCCAAAGATTCATGACCCTTGGAGCAAAGTATAATGCCTCATCTCAAAGTAGGCACCCCTTATTTTTAAACAGTGACCCCTGTTCTTGATTCTCCCATAAGAAGAAACATCCTTTCCACGTGAGCGGTGTCATGACCCCTGATATCTTATTTCAATCAAGTCACCTCTTAGTTCAGTTTCAAGCCTAGCCTGTCCAATCCATCCTCAACCCAACTCACCCATATCTAGTAAACCATCTGTGAACTGCTTCCAATGTATTTGCATCCTCCTAAAATAAGAAGGCCAATGTATACCCAGTTCTCCAGATGTGGTCGTACCAAAGCTCCGTATATTTGAAGCAGGATCTCCCTACTTTTGTATTCACTTCCCCTGGTGGTAATTGATTAAATTCTGTTCTCTTTCCTAATTACTTGCTGTACCTACATACAAGTCTTGTACGATTCATGCACTGGACCCACATCTCTTTGTACCTCTGAGTTCTGCAATCATTCATTATGTAAATGTTATTTTATTCTTCCAGTCAAAATGGATAATTTCACATTTTCTCACATGATGCTCCATTTTCCAAATCTTTGCCCATTCATTCAACCTATCTATATAGGTAGCAGCCATTCCTCTGTCCCTTCATCCAAGGAATCATTCACAGTCTGCATAAATGATTAAGATTTGGGAATCAGAACTGCAGTTTCTAAGTTTGCCGGTGGTGTGGGATAAGTCAGTATTGGGAAAAGCAAAATGGAATGCAAGATGACACTAACAAACATGTGGAATAGTTATGTGATTGACAAATGCACTTTGATATTAAGTGTGATATGTTATGCTAGGAGAGCAAGGAGATCACATTGCTTGGATAGCAGTCTAACTGGAAAAGTGGAATAATAGGAACTGGGGGGCGGCATATGTGAAAATCAGTAACAGTAATTACAGATCAGTAAGGCACTTTCTGAACAAAATTGTGCATATTCGTTTCTAGAGCTAGAACAGTATTGATCCTTTGTGTACTGTCCTGGTCTTTTGTACCTGTAAATAATTTGTTATAGTTACATAAAACAATGAGGTAAAAAGATTGACTGAAATAATGCTAGAATTGAGATGATTTCCTCAACAGAAGCTGAACAGACTGGAGATCTATTCTCTAGAAAATAAATTGCAGGGAAAGGGGTGTTATGAACTAATAGGGGCCTTAATTGAGAGAGATTTGATAAGGTAGATGTAGAGAAGTTGCTTCTGGTTGTGGGAAAACAGGAGTATGAGACTATGTCTAACTAAAAAGACAATAAAGCAGGAATGAAAAGCATTGATTATCCTTATTTTAATTCTCATGAAGTAAAATAAAAGTTTTAGAATTACACATGGCATTAAGGTAATAGCTGAAATAAAGTACTTTAAAACAATTATTCCAAGAAATTTGATATTTTATAATGTAAAATTAGATATTTGGAGTGAGAGCTTATTCATGGCTAATTATGACTTAACACACTGTTGCAAATAGAGTCATACCTTCTTGAATAAGGTATAACTTTTCCTTGCATTTTTCAGTAGACTTGCAACATAACAGGAGTGCTCAAGCCAATTCAGTGGTTTATGGATGGATTTCATCTGAGGTTACTTGATAGTATAGCCTATGGAGGTTCGGGCACCAATTTCTGGATTTCCATGTTCTCAATTTTCAGATAGAAATTTCTGTCAGTTGCAGATTTAGAGATGGTGCATGCAAACTATTTTGCTCTCAACACAGTCACAAAAATGTGGCATTGTGATCAAAAAATCTCAAAGGATGATTGGTATGAGGGCCTGCCTTTATAACTGCATTTCCCCAGATGATAGGCCTGCAAGCCCATTCTCATGAGGTTGGATTTTTCAAAAATTTGTGTATGTGTAAGTTAATGTTTTCAACTCCCTGTACCCTCGCTCCAGAGAATCTGACCACTTTTTCCCCCCCTTTTTTCCAAAAGTTGTCACTTGCATTTGTTGGGTTAAGTGAATTTGATGTCTGAGTATATTCAAGCTAGCTATTTTTGGCACTTAGTCATGAATATATTCCCTAGATTCAAGATTTTGCCTATTGTTGTTGTGGAGGAATGGGGAAGAAATTGGTACCTTCAGAAGAAAGGTGACCTGGCTTTAAAAACTAAAAACTCTCTGGTAGATACTCAAAATAACTGACGTTTGTGTGTCTGGCATAAGGGCTTTTGACATTTTGTAGATCTGCACTGGTTAGGAGAAGATTAGATTTCCTCGTATTGCACACATTGCATGCTATTACTACTTGGTGTTTATTACCATGAATAGAGTTTTTTTTTAGAATCTGGCTTGCCTCCAGTGATTGGATGATACCCAAAGGTTTTGTGATGAAGTATTTAGGTTTATGCTGACTTTGACATTTTCATGCATCATATAACTTACAAAGCAACAGCTCAATGTTCATGACCTGTTTTTAACTTTTGGTATACAGTATACATTATAGTTATTGGTTGGTTAGCCGAGCTGACTGGTTTTCGTGCAAACATTTCGTCTCCCTTCTAGGTGACATTGTGGGTGCTGTGTAGCCTCCGTTGACGGAGGCTACACAGCACTGATGATGTCATCTAGAAGGGAGGCAGAGCATTTGCACGAAAACCAGTCGGCTCTGCAAACCAGCCAACAACTCTAAGCCCCTGCAACCCAAGCTACAGATCTTCATTAAAACGTTAATTATTACATTATATTAGCCACACATCCATACAGTAGAACTCTTTAAATGCAGCTCCACAATGCAAATTGTAAATTAAGATTTTCAAGCATAATAAACCTAAAGATGAGTTGAATTTGGTGATACATAAGTTTAAAACAATAAACTTGGTTTGAATTTAATTAACAAAAGAAACTACATAAAAATGTAGACAAAAGTATTTGACTTTCTTTTCTTGGGGAAATAACAATGAAATATACTGGACAGCACACTTTAGTGCAATGTGGTTTGAAGTCCATGTGATACAATATGCCATGATTCAATATTCAGTATAGATGGTTTGTGGGAGGGATATAATGTTAGAATTGGTTCAGTATGTTCTGGTATTTCAAAACTTGTGGACCTGTGTGTCTTTGTGTATGGACAGAGTGGACTCATTTCACAAATAAGTTCTTATTCTCATTTGTTTTTAGGGTGACCTGGACCAGGAAAGACTGAAGAGACAACAGGAGCTGGCTACCTTGAATTTGTATCAGATGCAGCAGATACAGTGCCAGCAGCTTCTGCAGGCACAGCTTATGACCCGGTAATTCTTAGAACAATAAATTATTTATTCATTAGACTGGATGTTGCCCATCCCCAATTGCCCTCAAAGATGGTGGTGGATTGTTTTCTTGAAATACTGCATCTGGTGCAAGTACGTACTCAACCCTCTTAAAGGAGTTGCATGGTTTTGACCCAGCATCTGTGAACGAACATCCATAAATGAGTGAAAATTTCTTTCATTTGGCTGAATTCTAAATTTTCGAATTTGACTCCTCCGATCTGTTCTGACTGTCGCATCCCCTTCGATATCGAGAAACATGGTTAGGAATAGGCTCTGACAAGCCACCACTTGCCCATCTGGGAGGGTGTACTGTACTGCTAACTGTTTTGAAGAAACCGCAGGTTCAGCGACCTTGGATAAGTGGTGGCCACGCAGTGGAGCCTGGGTTTCAGTAATGGGGATAGCTCGATTAGTGGAGTCTGGGGTCTCGGCCAGATAGAGGTGGCTGTGAAATTGTTGCCCTGATATGGTGGGCCTTCCTTAAATAACGTTGGTGAATCAGATGGGGTTTATAACTATTGATAACTTAATAGCTAATTCTAAAACTAACTTTCAATTTCAGAATTTTAAAAATTAATCAATTGAGTTTTAAAACCACTCTTTGACATAGTGAGACTTGAACCCATATTCTCAGAGCACTAGCCAGAAGCCTTTTGACTTCTACGAAAGTGCCATGTGACATTTTGAGGTTACATCGAACTACTTAAAAAAAAAAAAAATAAACAACAAAGTATTGCATACAGGAGTGTTTTTAACTACTTGCTGGCTAAGTAATATGATATCTCAGAGTCAGATAGGATGGAAATGGACGCTTCAGTCCAACTCGTCCATGCAAACCAGGTTTCCCAAACTAAACTAGCCCACTTGCCTGCTTTTGGCCCGTATCCCTCTAAACCCTTCCTATTCGTGTACCTGTTCAAATGCCTTTTTAAATGTTGTAAATGTACCTGCATCCACCACTCCCTTTGGCAGTTCATTCCCCATATAAACTACCGTCTGTGTGAAAAAATTGCTCCTCAGGTCCCTTTTAAATCTATTTTCTCTCAGCTTAAAATTATTCCCTTTAGTTTTGAACTCCCCTACGTGAAAAGAGATTTTCAACGTCATGTTCAGGCAGGATAGCGTAGGTAGATAGGAAGGAACTGTTCTTGCTCGTAAAAGGAATAAGAGGGCATAGATTTAAAGTAATCTGCAAAACAAGCAAGGGTGAAGTGAGGAAAAACTATTTGTGAGTAATTAGGATATGGAATACACTGCCTGGGAGTATGGTAGGGGCAGGTTCAGTTGAAGCATTCAAGAGGTGATTGGATGATTATTTGGGTTAAAATAAAGTGCTGAAATTATTGCGTCAGGCCATGGTTGGGTATTATAGGTTGGTAATTGCGATATGAAGTTTTGCTCAATTATTTCCAAAGATCAAGAAATGTTAGAGTTATAGTCCCTGGAAAGTTTTCTGTAATTTAGTATTTGCAGGAGATTAAGTAACCCATGAAAGCTTTTGATAGATTTGGAGAACAATTGAAAGCACTATCCTGATGCTCTAAACAGTCTTCAATCCTTCTTTATAAATCCAGAAAGTTGGGAAGTCAAATAGTGTTATCAAAATACTGAAAAATTGGCGATGGGATTAGAGCAATGGGATGTGAAGTGTGTAAGAGGTGAAGATTTACTTAAATAGCATTCTGTAGTGCCAGATTGTTTTATGATGAATTGTAGGCACAAATTGATACAAGTGAACTCGTGTCTGCTGAATTTCATATTCTATCACAATTTGAATAAAAACATTGTAACTGTTTCCATTGCACTCAAGATCAATTATACCTAAGGTGGTGATGTTCAGAAATGTAATTAATTAGGGTTCTGAGAAATTTATTATTTTGCTCTGTATAAGTACTGAAATTGGATCTGAGAAATTATTTGTGATGCCCAGTTATTTGTTGTTACATTACATGTGAATGTTGGAAATCCAGTTCATGTTTAAGATTGCTACCATTTTTTAATAAAATCTTTTTAAAGGCAACAGTATGCACAAGCATTAGCACATCACCAAAAGGCAGCTGTGGAAGCCATAACAACGCAGCAGCAACAACAACAACAACAGCAACAGCAGCAACTAGCTGTCATACTTGAGCAGTTTCAAGCCTTAAAGTTAAGGTAACAATTTATGGAATTTGTTATCTTTAAAGGGAGAGGGAAACTCTTACCTGCACTATTTTAGAAATGGTATTGGTACATCCCACTGCTTTGATACAAAATGTTTATGTAACATAATTCAAAAAGGTGATCTGAAGACACTGTAGAATCTAAGTAACTTAGGTTCTTTGGTATCTTGCTAATAATAATTGTGGTTTATTGGCCATGTTTAAATTTAAGTTCTGCTATCTGAGGTTCTCCAGTTAGTTTTTCCATTCATCCCAGTTTCATTTTTTTTTGTTGGTTCATGCCAAATACTCAGAATTGAAGTGGAAAAATTGGCAGTTCAGACAAAGATGGTGGTAGTTGACTTCAACAGCTCTGTGCTACAGAGAAGGTACTTTGATAGGGTTTCCCCTATTCCTGATTATTGTTAAAAGATCATTGCTGCACAGTTCTTGTAAAGAACAGGATTGTTCTCTGATTTGATGTGTTCAAAAGTTAAATCATCATTCCTATGAAGAATATTCATTTCAGAAATGACCATCTCCAACAATGGAGAATCTAACCATTGCCCTGATGATGTTCAATGTTATT